TTTTTAGTTTGTGCAGTAGAATGTTGTGGTCTACTGTGTCAAAGGCCTTTGTAAAATCAAGGAAAATAGCTCCAGTTTGGTCTCCTTGTTCCATGCCAGTTTGGATGTCATTACAAACTTAATAGGGCAGTTGTAGTGGAGTGATTCGGGCGAAAGCATGATTGATCAGGGGTCAGATAGTTTGATTGTTGGTAATACTCACATAGTTGCGTATGGACGCATTTTTCTAAGATTTTTGACAATACTGGGAGCAATGATATTGGGCGATAGTTAGAAACCAAAGTAGTGTCACCACTTTTATGAATAGGCACTAGTGGCGTACACATGACCCATGGGGCCCCGGTGCGAAAATTGATCCGTGGGCCCCCCCCCCCCTCCGCGCGCGGGCCAGGCCGCAACACATGACGGCGGCCAGGCCGCAACACATGAGAGGTTACAGGGCTGCGACCGCGGTATGTACGCCAGTGCATGCAGATGCACACACACTTAAAGGACCACTCTAGGCACCCAGACTACTTCAGCTTAATGAAGTGGTCTGGGTGCCAGGTCCAGCTAGGGTTAACCCATCATTTTTCAGAGAAACTGCTATGTTTCTGAATGGGTTAAGCCTTCCCCTATTTCCTCTAGCGGCTGTCTCATTGACAGCCGCTAGAGGCGCTTGCGTGCTTCTCACTGTGATTTTCACAGTGAGAGCACGCCAGCGTCCATAGGAAAGCATTATGAATGCTTTCCTATGTGACCGGCTGAATGCGCGCGCAGCTCTTGCCGCGCGTGCGCATCAGCCGACGGGGAGGAGAAGAGGAGGATCGGAGGAGGAGAGCTCTCCGCCCAGCGCTGGAAAAAGGTAAGTTTACCCCTTTCCAGAGCCGGGCGGGAGGGGGTCCCTGAGGGTGGGGGCACCCTCAGGGCACTATAGTGCCAGGAAAACGAGTATGTTTTCCTGGCACTATAGTGGTCCTTTAAAGGACCACTACAGACACCCAGATCACATCAGCTCAATGAAGTTGTCTGGGTGTCAGGTCCCTCTAGTTTTAACCCTGCAGCTGAAAACATAGCAGTTTCAGAGAAACTGCTATGTTTCACTGAGGGTTAATCCAGCCTCTAGTGGCTGTCTCACTGACAGCCGCTAGAGGAGCACACTGAACGTCCATAGGAAAGCATTGAGTAATGCTTTCCTATGGGCGGTTTAGTTTGAATGCATGCTCGTGCATTCGGAGCTGAGAGATCCTCAGCGCCAAGGGAGTCCGGCGCTGGAGAAAGGTAAGTGCTGAAGACACACACACACACACACACACACACTTACAGACGCATACACACTAGCTAACAGACACACAGTCAGCGACAGACATACATACACACTCACTTACAAAACATACACTCTCATTGACAAACACACACTCACTAACAGACATCAAACAGACTCACTAACACACACTCAGTAAGACACACAGTAACACTCACTGACACTCACTAGCAGACACACACACTCACACTCACTAGCAGACACACACACTCTAACACTCACACTCACTAGCAGACACACACACACTAACACTCACACTAACACTAACTAGCAGACACACACACTAACACTCACTAGCAGACACACACACTAACACTCACACTAACACTCACTAGCAGACACACACACTAACACTAACTAGCAGACACACACACTAACACTCACACTAACACTCATTAGCAGACACACACTAACCCTCACACACACACTAACACTCACTCTAACACTCACACACACACTAACACTCACTAACACACACAAACACTAACACATGTTTTTTTTTATTTAATCCCCCCGCCTCCTTACCTTTTGGAGTGCTGGGGGGATTCCCTGGGGTCCAGTGGTGCAGCCGGGCAGGCGGGCGCGCGAGGGAGCACTCAGTGCTTCCTCTTCAGCTCCCTCGCGCGCCGCGTAGGGATGCCGGAGCCGGAAGATGACGTCATCTTCCGACTCCGGTGTCAGTGCGGCGCGCGAGGGAGCTGAAGAGGAAGCACTGAGTGCTCCCTTGCGCGCCCGCCTGCCCGGCTGCCCACCTGCCCGCTGGGGTCAGCAGGGCCAGCCTCGGGGGGCCCTGGGGTGGTCGGCTCCTGGACCCCCCAGGGGAAGAGGCTGGCCCTGTGGCTACATACCGGGTCGCAGGGGCCCCCTAGTGGGCCGGGCCCGGTCGCAGTCGCGACCCCTGCGACCCTGGTATGTACGCCACTGATAGGCACTACTCTCGCAGTCTTCCAAAGTTCAGACACCAAGGATTCATTAATTAGGGTTGTGACAGGTTTAGCAATTGCCAATGTACTGAGCTTCAACAGCATTGCTGGGATTTGATCAGGTCCAGACTGGTTTTTCATTTTTAGATAATTCAGTTATTTTTTTAATGACATTAATAGGTACAGGTCTAAAATCGAACTTGTCTATATTGGGTCTTTGCAAATTTAGTGGGGCCTGATCCACATTTGTAGTTTCAGGATGTGTGTAATTTGTTAACTTGGCAATCAGGGTGGTGGAGCATCCAACAAAATTATTGTTAAAGGCATTTGCTACATCTAAGGGGAGTTGCAGGGTTTGATTGTCCACTTTAACAGTGGAGGGTTGGGAGTGGATTGGGGGAGTTTGTAAGTTATTTATGATTTTTCAAAAGTTTCTAGGGTTTGAGATGTTATTATTCAGATTTTCACTGATATTGGGCCTCGGACAATTTTGTTTGTTTTGTGCATATATTTCGCCATTGCCTATATGCACAATAACATTATACAGATGTGGCCATGTTTACATTGCAGGATTAAAATGAAATACACCTCTAGTGCTCAATTATCTGTCATTTCGGAGTTAAACCACTTTGTTTATGCCACCTTAGTCACACCTCCCATGGCAAAGATTCATACAGCCTCTCTGCACAGTTCCTGAAAAGGGGATCACATTTTAATTAGCTTCTTTTTTTGCATAGTGTGTTTAATCTAGAATTTCTGATCACCGGCTCCATTAGTTGCATGCTAGAGCTTGCAACAGTTCCTATAAAAATTTTTATCCTGCATAAACAAAGTGATTTACCTCCTAAATGGCAGAGAATTGGGGTGTATGGCATGCTTGTTTTGGTGCTGAGAGTGTCCCATTAGCTATGTACAATATATATATATATATATGTATATATATATATATATGACATTTTTCATATTTCCCACATCCCCTAACATTGTATAATTGCAGGGCATTATTTGAAGTATTCGTACATATTATTACATGTATAGTTATATAACAAATTATTTTTCAAAAATATTTTCATAAAAATGCTACGCTCGTAGTCAATTAACTATTTATTATAGACTGTAGAACACTGCTCTAGCACAATATATAATTAATTATTTATTATAGACATATAATTGTATTTTGCATGCAAGTTATGACAAAATATTAAGGGTAATTTGCAGTGTATTGAAATACACAGCTCCGATAGCTGATGTCTGTGTTTTACAGAAATGTGGATTAATTTGGTAGAAAGCTTTCAATTGTTTCCCTGAGCATTAATGGAGACAAATTGATCAGGACCTAAAAAAATAACAATAAAAAGCAGTAAGTGTTCAACTGTAATTCTTAATAATTAAATTGCTTTCAGTTGGGAGCACAGAGGAACAACTTGCAATCTAATTAGCATTAATTAACAATCATGTCTCAAACATAAAGTGACCTAAGGCAGGATTTGTTTGAAAGAAAAATAAATTCTACATAGCGTTTAATATCCATCAAATTGGGTGCCCTGTATCAGATGACTGATTTATATAGAGCCTTACGTGGAATATACTAAGACTAGTTTTCAGAAATGTCCTGGGCAGCATGTACAAGACAAAATTACACATTTGAAATTAAACATATACAATACAAAGAATATGTGGATGATAGGGAACATCTGGCAAGTATACACGATCTCAAGTACATATAAAGATTACTTTCCCTTGTGTCTGCTTCTTTCAAGAAGCCCAATGAAAATGGATTGGAGCACTAGTTTCCACCACCACCCTGGCCTAAATGCCACACAACGCATCCCATAATGCATGGTGTCTCCACAATTTGAGGCACATCAATGGACTCGCAATCATGTCCATTTATAGAGGCAATTGTGGTAGTTTTTCCACTTCCAAACACAAAAACATTTTGTATTGAATACTAAATACTAGCACTGTTTCACAGTATTATTGTATATTTGATTATAGTTAAATTACCAGAATGCGGATAAAGGACTAGATGATGCTGTTCTGAGGACCAGTATGCTTCTTTGAGTCAAGTTAAAGGGACATCTCAGTTACACATACAACTTTAATGCATTTGATAGAATTTGACCATATTAACATGCTGTATTAGTTTATGGACAAAAATAAATACATAACTGTTTTGCTGTCACTGGATGAGCTGTATGCATACATTTGATGAGGAAGACTTTTTCTGAAAAGAGGGTGTGTGCCTAAAGAGACAGGCTTATAGTGCATCATTCTGTAAAGCATTTATTCGTTTTGTGCAAAAATTATATAGATTTGAAAATGCAAACTTCATGCCCCCCAAAAAAGGCTAATAAAGCTCTCTCACAACCTCTAAAACAAGAGAAACTACCAGCATTTATTATGGGATCTCTCCTGCCGCTGTTTGACCAGAGTATGGTTCCGTTCGCTGCACTTTACCAATGCCACCGACACTTGGGCCTACTTTGCAGCCTTGCTTTGTTGATATGCAGATCAGTGGCTGAAGATTGACAGCGATGGCTAGTCGCAGGACGGAAGCTGTACCAGAAGCTGCATTACCCGGTATTGGACTGGGCCAGTGGTTCGGTTCCGTCTCCCCCCCTCTCAGCTGGTGGAGGTTATCCTGGCCCTCGAATCAATGCTGACACCAGCATGGGTGGTCGTGGAGGATGAGGACTTTGGTTTGGATGTCCCCCACTGTTTGAGAAATGTCTAACTGCTCACTTGAATGATCTTGAATGGGGACGCAGGGAAGAATACTCACCTACCATGAGGGGCTGGCTTGGACAGTTTACGTCCGGATGGATTCTCTGGCTGCCTGCCCGCGGCAGTAGTAGGTGCTCTGGCCTCTGGGACAGAGGGGTCCCTGGAGAAACTTGTCCCTGGTGCTAAGAGCCCTGTGGGACAGGAATGTGCAGACCGGTGGTAGTGAATGATGTGCATCATCCCCAGGAGTGTAGCCAGCGCCAGGAGAGACATGGGGGCACACACTCCACAAAGGCTTGAGAGGTGTTGGGGAGTTGCAGGGGGCAGACAGCTCACGGACTCTTGGTGAGTGCCCACAGAACCACAGAAAGCCCTGTTGGTGGGCTGGGACTTGCCTGGGAGGACAGATCAAGACTCTGCGTACTGGAGGACATATTGCTGCTGTGCCATAGACGACCTCGAAGCAATGACTCAAATCCACATTTCTTATTTTATTGCTGGCTTTACATTTTTGAATATTACCGTGTCATTTTGTCACTTAGATGCAGGTCAGTTTGGACGCCCATGGTCTAAGCTGACTTGTAATAACAACAACTCCGTGTAAAGCTCAGTTCATATGATATAGACAATGATAGATACTATTCACCCAGTTCTATTGTTGTGCGAAATGCACTCTAATTTACGTCTAATGCTGTCATTTGCTTTATACATCAGTACATGTGGCTCTAAACGCCATACATGGTTTCAAAAGTTAATACGTTCTTAAAATGTTTGTAGCAGTCTCATAAAAGAGATTATAGAGACATGCTGAAAATTGATAGACCCCCCTTTTTGAATTTTTGTTTATTTTCCTTCTTTGTTGTTACTTAAAAAGTAATATCAATTGATGTGCTTCAGTCCTCAAAGCAATGACTCAAATGCATGTTTCTTTTTATTATTGCCAGCTCTACTAGTTTGCATGTGACTACAGTTCAGAAACCTAATGTAATTAATCTCAGTTACATGATATTTTTGGATATTTTAGTTTCTCTGAGTAACAAGCTCATTTCCGATTACAGTTGCTTAGGACCCCTGTTACGATATGCTATTGATATCTATGGCTGTACTTAGCCTCTGCGTAGGCAAACGTACATCCGCACTCGTAACTTACTGTTTAATTGCTCTTACTATAAACAAGATGAAAAACATTTAAACAAAAAATACAGCATATTAAGGAGGCTAATGCATCAAATGCATTACAGTTGTATTGGTGCCATGCGTGTCCCTTTAATTTCTTCCCTGCTAACACGTGCCAGTTTCATTTTACATTCTCTTGTTTGGTATTGATATGTATGGGACTGAATAAGCGCATCATGCATTTATAGCAAATGTAGACTGTTTGTGAATTCATTTTAAAATCTGTTTTTAAAAACCACGATGGACCTCTTTGCATGGGGGAAAACTAAATGGATGGGGAACTGGAGGATCTGTGTTTAGTTCAGATCTCATGTTTAATTCTACATGATTTGCAACAATCTATTCTATATCTGTATGACAGAAATTAAACATTGTGAACTATGTTATTGGATTCAATTATTACTTAATCATCTTTTGCCTTTGCAGTTTACTGTTAAATTTGTTACCTTGAAAATAGCCACTTATGACACAATGTCAAATGACTAATTACAGGGTTACGAACCCTTTATATATGGTCCAGACATACAAACTTTTGGTTAACATAACTCTATTGCAACCGGATTTGCAATTCCTATATTTACTCAAGGCAAAACAATTTACCACCATCCGGTTTCTGTTTTAACCCCATTACTTCCGACTACTTTTTGATTAAAAAAATATTAGCATAACATTTATTTGAAGCAAGTGGTGCATAGCCAGCATTTAACCCCTTAAGGACACATGACATGTGTGACATGTCATGATTCCCTTTTATTCCAGAAGTTTGGTCCTTAAGGGGTTAAACATATCACAACACAGAAATTTTGATTTGTTTGAAGAGAAACTTAAACATTTAAATTATATAAATTTAAACAATTTTTATATTTAATTTATTCATTCAGCCATTATAAAAATATTTGAGAAAATGAAAAGTTTTAGCCACTATACAGTGTTCTTTAATTTCACACTGTTTCTGAAATGTTAATCTAAAAGCAAAAAAAGCATTTTCTCTAACACAGAGAAGTGCCAAAAATAGATAAATAAAATTGGTCAAATACCTTGCTCATAGATGTTTAAAGGCATTACTAGCTGTACATCGTACTAAAAATTGCAACAGAATGTAAAAATAATGTCTGCACTTGAGCATAGTAATCACAAAGAGCTCATTCTCTCCTCCCCCTCCCTGACTGTAAGAATATGACCCACTGAGATCCGCGATAATAGACCGCTTGAGGACATTGGGGACAATACCACACGGTGACATTGGGGATAAAAGACCACACTGTGGCTGTATACACGGACATCCCGTTCTTAGTCCTGGCTGAAAAAAGAAAATTGGCACCAATTGCCAGAAGGCTAAGGGACTGTTATAACCAATAAAGGGGGCGAGTGTTTGACTCTGACATCATCAGACGGCCCAGAGACATTCATACAGCAGGTCTATCAGCACCCGCACAAGTAGTAACCCCAACGCTAACAAAAGAGGCTGGTGGGCAGGGAGACAAGGGCAAACATAGGACCCCCAAGATACCGGGGAATGCTGCTAAGCGGCCATTACCCTGTACCCAGGACATAGACCTTAGTCCCTCTAACTACCAGATCATCCAATTACCCTACTGTCTATTCAGTACTTAATGCCAGTAACAAAATCACACTTGACGGGCACCACTCGACCATAGAGTCACTACACATGACGTGACACTTATACAGCTAAATACAATATATCTATATGTGAAAATATCGTTGTTGTGTGACCCTGATTGTTGCTGTTGCTGATAACCTTACATATACTTTCCTTTTCTTTCTCTAATACATTAGAAATGTTGTATATTGCACATACAAATGCAATAAAATAAAAAACAAATTCAAAAAAAGACGCTTGGCATTAAATTGTGTAATTTGAGAGATGTTGAAGGAAATAACATGGTCTCTGCAAAACATATGTTGGCTTTTTTAAATAAGCTTATCCCTACACTCATTGAGCTACATCAACAAAGATTACTAGTGCCAATAACCCCAGAGGAGGTGCAGTCCATAATAGCATCCTTCTTGAATCTCAAGGCTCCAGGTCCGGATTTTCTACTGGGCTTTTACTATAAAAACTTTGCTTCTGAGGAGAGGGGCAGTTAGTGGGCAAAATATCTTACTACATGACTTCACTCTGCTGGCACCTAATTGTGGTACATACTGGACACTCTTATTGCGAATTCCAAGTCTCACCGACACTGCTGTTGTGAAGTTGCAGGCCCGGTGTGTTGCGACCTTGTGTGTTCTCCTGACAAGAGGAATGATGGACAATCTCCTTGAATGGGACTGCACTGGCTCTGCTGACCATCATTTGAGCCTTGAATGTGTCCCCCCCCACCCCCCTCGGCAAGTTGGGATTACCTGGTCCCCAACAGGCACCTTTCCTTAACATTGTTCCTAGGTGCAAACTGCATTAACAGCTCCCACATTAGCATAGAAACATAGAATGTGACGGCAGATAAGAACCATTCGGCCCATCTAGTCTGCCCAATTTTCTAAATACCTTATCTTATAGTTAGGATAGCCTTATGCCTATCCCACACATGCTTAAACTCCTTTACTGTGTTAACCTCTACCACTTCAGCTGGAAGGCTTTTCCATGCATCCACTACCCTTTCAGTAAAGTAATACTTCCTGATATTATTTTTAAACCTTTGTCCCTCTAATTTAAGACAATGTCCTCTTGTTGTGGTAGTTTTTCTTCTTTTAAATATAGTCTCCTCCTTTACTGTGTTGATTCCCTTTATGTATTTAAATGTTTCTATTATATCCCCCCTGTCTCGTCTTTCCTCCAAGCTATACATGATCCTTTAACCTTTCCTGGTAAGTTTTATCCTGCAATCCATGAACCAGTTTAGTAGCCCTTCTTTGAACTCTCTCTAAAGGTATCAATATCCTGTACAATACTCCAAGTGAGGTCTCACCAGTGTTCTGTACAATGGCATTAGCACTTCCCTCTTTCTACTGCTAATACCTCTCCCTATACAACCAAGCATTCTGCTAGCATTTCCTGCTGCTCTATTACATTGTCTGCATACATTCATCAGACATAACCACCCCTAAATCCCTTTCCTCAGATGTTGAGGTTAGGACTCTATCAAATATTCTGTACTCTGTCCTTGGGTTTTTACGTCCAAGATGCATTATCTTGAGGGGGCGGGGCCGGACCGTCGAGCGGAGCGGCAGCCAACCGTGCTAGCTCCAACCCTGAACGGCACAACAGCTTTGAAAAAGCCAGAAAAAGCCAAAAAAGGCCAAGAAAATACTACCCTTAAAGAGCAACCGGGAGTCGGGGCAGCACATACGGAGAGCCCAAGGGATGAACAAATGGCCGCTCCCCGCGCTGCAACCGTTAAGTCCGAAAGACCGACACAAGGCCTACACACATGTGGAGGTGGCGAAGCTCGTAAGGCGATGGAGGGAGAGAGGTGGACACTGGCCCGGTCCCGCTCCCTCCACCCCCGGCCGGTGGGGATAATCTCGGCCCATGAGTCAGACCTTCAGAGAAGGGACCCACCTTTTTTATGTCCTAGGAACCAAGCCCTGAAAAGACATAACACAAATGGTCTGCTGAAATTATTCACCTATTATATTTGCTTTTTACCTTAATTGCTGGACCATATAACAATGCAATAGACCACCCAAATCAGCTTTAAAAGTCGATAGGCTATCTATGCCACTGTGCCCCCACGGGCAACAGCTCCGTGTTAGTCTCTGTTGCTTACCCAATAGCCGAAGGCTGCATTATAGGGGGAAGGTTAACATGCATACAATTTAACTCATATATTACTATGCTTTTAGGTTATGCACATCTTACGTTCACTCTCTGTCATATATATGACCCTCGAGATGTTATTAATATAGCTATTCACAGACTCATTTAATAATTCACAGTACTTAAGTTGCACTGTTAAATACTACTGCTTTTTTTTTTTTTTATACGCTGTCATACCAAGAATAGATAGATTAATGTTAGCGTCACTGATGCGTTAGACGATTGCTGTTAATGAACCAGACCAAATCATACTTGCACAGCTAGTAGCATACACCTGCTCAGGGTATTCGATAAAAGGCTTATAAAAATAACACCCT